CACACACACACACACACACAGAGTCACACACACAATCACACACACTCTCACACTCACACACAGTCTCACACACAATCACACTCACACACATTCACACACATAATCACACACACTCTCACACTCACACACATTCTCACTCTCACACACACACAATCACATACTCTCTCACAATCTCACACACACAATCACACACACTCTCACACTCACACACACAGTCTCACACACAATCACACACTCTCACACTCACACACACAGTCTCACACACAATCACACTCACACACACAGTCTCACACACATACAATCACACACACACACACACACACACACAAACAGAGCCTCAGTTCTCTGTTCTGATTTTACATTTCCATCAGGGCCTCGGAGTCACAATACAGGTTACTCAAATTCTGTTCTGTTTTTCTCTGCCTAATTTTTTTCTTAAGAGGATCTTTTGAGGATGGCCTCCTACATCCTCCTTCCTGGAAGCTAAATAAGGGAATAAAAGGTCATGGAGTAGCTTTCTAATTAGCTTATTCAGGAGACAAATGCCCAGCCATTGTCCCAGTGCCCAGCACCCGTGAATACCGCCTGTGGGGAAGGGACGCCTGGAATCATTGCAGTCTGTCCCCGGGACAGTTATAAATAGTGGGGTGACATGCGAAGGAAAGAATATGACAAGTTAGCAGTAACCGTATAAGTTACAAAGACTTATTTACTCACTGTCCACAAAGAATAAACAGTCACCATGGGGGAGGGTGCGGCTGTTCAGTCAGACCCTCTTGTCCTCCTCTGGGCTGGCACAGTCAGTATACCCCGTGGCCATAAGACGTAGACCTGAGGCCTTGGCTGCTGGCTCTCCAGGTCCTGCCTGCAGTCAAAGTCCTTTTTTTTTTTTTTAAATCAACTCGCTTGCCTTCACATCCTGGGAGGGCATCCTGCAGGGGGTCCACCCAAGGGTCTGCCCTATTCCTACTGCCCCAGCATGCCTGAAATCACAGTGACTGGTGTCCCCCAATCCGCCAGAAATCCGTGCTCCAGCAACCAGTTGCCTAATCTCAAGCAGCACTTGGGCCCAAAAGGAACAGGTAGGGCCATTCACCCTGTCAAGCCCAACTACTCTCTGCCCTTCTGCAGCTAGGACCTCCCTTCCCAGGAAGGCAGAGGATCAGAACTGGGAGACTCGGGGTGTTAGGGATGTGCTCAATAGAGTGCTTATCTACCGTGTGAAACTGCGTCTACCACCTCCCCACACACCCTACAAGGCCCAAAACTAAGACCTAGAATGCTATCTATTGGTCATTCCAGCCAAAGCCTGGAGAGACTTCTCTGCTATCTGTGAGGCCAGCGTAGAGATAGGTAACACAGTGACCCTGGCCTAGAAGCCACCCTCTGAAGAGTATTCTTCAGAGACCTCTTCTCGGTGCTCAGTAGAACTAGTTCCCTCGGGTGGCAGCTCATTGGGTGGTCTGAAGAAGAAGAAGTCAGAAGAAGCCGCCAAGGGAGCAGACAGGGGCTCCTGTGTCTGTAAACCATGTCATACTAGCAACAGGACAGGCTGGGGTGTCCGACGGGCACCAAGTCTGGTCGGGTGGACAGGAGGGATGAGGGGCAGAGGCGAAACTCGGGTGGCTCTCTGGGCCAGGGACGGGGAAGCTGTTGGAGACTGTGCAAAATCCATGAAGACAGACAGCTACCCTGCTGCCCCGCACGTCCAGGCTTCCTGAGGAAGCAGCCACAAGCCTGAGGTTCCGCCAGGGCACAGAGGAGGGCAGAGCAGGCCAGGCTATCCTTAATGCTCTCTGGTCCTAGGAGAAAGGGCATTGCTAACAGCTTAAGGCAACAGGGCTACACAGTAAGAAACCCCCTATAATCCTCATTGCCCTCACCCTGTTAGACTCTAACAGGTAGAGAGAGGCTGGTAGGTGCGGACGGAACCACCAGGACTTCGAAACAGGATCTAGACTCTGCCTGTCCTGTTGTGTAAGGCTCCAGACAGGAAACTCCCTAACTAAAGAAAATGAAGGTGGAGAAGATGAGGAGGAGAGGGAAGAGGAGCAGGGGGAACAGAGAAGGGAGGGAGGGGAGGGAGGGAGGGAAGAAGGAAGGCAAGCAGGAAGGAACAAACTAGAGCCGCCCCCCCCTCCCGCCGCTCAGGCTTCTACCTCCCTTTGCAGCAGAACTCCTGCCTTCCAGTGTCATCGCCTACAGCCTGTGAGGTGGGAGCAGGGAAGCACTTTGTCCCCGTTTCTCAGCCTCCTCACACGGGCTCCCTTCTGCAACAACTTTGAGCATGCTCAGGGTACCTGCCGCTTCTCTGCCTGGGCCTGCATGGTGAATGACTTTCCCAGCAGCAGATAGCAGCCAAGGATGGGTGAACAGAAAGGGTGTGACCTTGTGAGGTGAAGCAGAGAACTTCAGGGTTGGCTAAGGCACACGCTGCAGACCATCAGAAACTGCCGCTGCAGGGGCAGAGTCTCCTGAAACGACCTAGCCTCTGGCTTCTAGAATCGCCATCAAAGCCAGGCAAGTACACAAGCTCTCCAGCCCAGGAGAGTTCCTCACCTGCCCTGAGCCTCTCTGAGCTCTTCTGCCCATTTCCTGACTCCACCCCCCCCAGGCTGACACCTCTCCCCAACAGCTACCTCATGTTTAAAGATGGTCTCTGCAGAACTTTCTCCTCCATTCCCAAGTCTTACTTTCTATCATATCCAGAGCCTGAGTTAGATTACAGAGGAAGAAGGCATCTCTCTCCTAGGCCATCCCAGTCACAGCACACCCCTCTTAATGAGCAGGAGCTATGGAGGGCCTTGAGCTCATCTGACTCAATATTCCCGCCCGAAGCTAGAAAGAGATCTGCAGACCGCCACGACTTATCCAAAATCACACAACAGTGGCAGAGCTGGGACTCCAGTTCTGGTCCCATTGTCTAATATGATACTGTTTGCCTCTATGGCAGATAGGGACATTCGCCTCGTTAAACATTCTGTCATTCCAAATCTCATCCCCAAAGTGCACAGGAAGTGGCCACCTCACCAACTGAGGCAAGCAGGAGCTTCTTAGCCACTGTCCCCTGGTACCATCAGCACCAGAGAGTCCTGTCTAAGGGGTGGAGGAAGCAGGCACCTCAGGTGATCTCACCGGGCCACCACAGCCTGCCTTCCTGGGAAAGCCTCTTCCCATGAGTACTCCAGCAGAGAAGCGAGCTCATCCCTGCCTGGTGGCCACCCTCTCAACACATTCAGACAAATGATCATGGAGCCCACACTCGGAGCTGACACAGCCACTGACTCCTAGAAAAGCCACTTGGTTAAGAGCCACCACGGAGAACACTAAAGAGAGCATGCCGGTGCCACCCCACGCCCCCGGGATCTGGGCTTCCCTGGGTTTCCCCTAGCAAGGACTCTTGGTTCCCAGGGGTGGCTGCCAGCCCATCTCTCAGGCAGAGCATGCACCAAGAGAAGCAGTTCTCACAAGGCAGGGAGCAGAGGACTGCAGCCTCCCAGGCTCTCATTACAGGGAGTGACTAAGTGAGCTGGGCTTCCAGGGGAAACCCCACTCTGCTCACAGAGAGTGGTCTGTTCATCCATGAGCTATTTAGACTAAGGCAGCTCCCAAGTGTTCTGGCTCGGGCAGTCCCTGCAAAGCAGCAGGTCCCTGGAGGACTCTGTCCATGCCGATTGCCTGACAAGGAGCTGCCCATCCTGGTTAAAGTGAGACTCTGGGAATGGGGGAAATCTGATCAGCGACTCCCAGGTTTTTGTGACTAGATCTCAGCAAGGAATGTGACAGTCTCCGGCAGCTGTGCCCTGCCTGAAACAGGCTCTATTTGAAACCTCCGACAGCTGAGCCCCTCCCAGCTACCCGCTAGCCAGCCAGCCACCCCTTGTCCAAAACGACAAATAAATTCAGGAATCCACACAACAAGCAGGACTCACACAAGTACACACAGAGAAAGACACACGCATAAATGGGGGGAAGGCTACAGTAGGGGAAAAGCACTTGTCCACAGCTCCCCGCATCTCCAAGCCCTGCAACCATCAGCCTCCTGGCAAGCACAGCAGTGACAAGAACCCACCTTCCTCAACCTCCTTCCCCTCTGGGAAGGAGACCCCCAACTGAAAGGCTAGGGCTACGGAGCCCCCCCGCACCCCCACACACACGACAGGGCCTGCCATTCTCCATGCAGTATGCACTCTCACATACACCCGTCTTTATTTATCCCAAGGAGAAGGAGTTGGGGTGGGAGGGAAGAAACGGGGTTGAGCCAGGGGCACCGGCTCCCGCGGCCCGCTGGGGAAGCCCGTCATCCCCTCCTAAGGACAGGCACTCTTCCTATGATGCCAAGGCGGTGCCCATCTGCTCTGCCTGGATAACACCTGTAGCCATTTTTATCAGGGCATGTTTACAAGGCGGCAGCAGGTTTATTCTGAGTCCTCTTTCCTGAGGGAAGGGACTGCTGATTTCCTCCACCTATTTTTTCACCTGGTGCCCTTGGGAGAGACTCGGGTACATCTCTATTTTACTCTGGAGTCTCTCTGGGATGAGAAGGGAATAGAAACTTGGGAAGGGAGCGGGGGGGGGGGCACTTAGGGCATGGTACAGGATCCCTAACCCCAGCCAGACATTTATTTCTTTTTTATCCTGGGGAAAATGGAGTGGAGCAGGGAGGGGAGGGAAGGAGGGAAGTAGCAGGAACTGGCAAACACATCAAGGCAGAGTGTAATTAATTGGTGCGTTAAGCTGCTGGGTTATGCTTTAGTACGAGTGAGCCTGGAGGAAAAAAAGCGATTTCTCAGAAGGGATTCTTTAATGCTCCCTAACACAGAGTCTGCAAATTAGACACAGTGTATGGGGATGTCCCTACAAAGGAAAGCAGAGAAGGGATTCTCACAGGACCAAGCAGGAGTTAAGGTCTCTCTCTCTCTCTCTCTCTCTCTCTCTCTCTCTCTCTCCCCTCTGCATACTCCTTTTGTTGAAGGTATAAAGAGAAACCACAGCCCTACCTTTGAGTACAAACCCCAAGACAGTTCGGTCTCTATCACCATAACAACAATTCCAAACATCCCAAAAATCAGAGCATAGTCACTCAGTCGCTTTCTCTTTTCAAACAGGGCCCTCCTGTGTCCCAGCTTATAGCCAATGTTTTGGTTTTTCCGCTTGTTGGCTTTGGGGAAGGTGGTGCTGCTGGCAGTGGTGCCGGCATGCTGGTGGTTGTGGGTAGCGTTGGGGTGATGGAGCAGAGTCTGGTGGGCATGGTTATCCTCCCTGGAGGAGATGACAATCTCTGGGGGGTTGCTGGGACTGAAGAGCTGGAGGGGCTGGCCCTCAGGCTCGGCCTCGATAAGGTTTCTCCGAGAGGCGCTGAGGCGACTGAGGGGCTTCATGACCCCACCGCTGTATTTGCAGGAGCTCATAGCTATCTCCGTGAAGGGGTTGCTGTCCCGCCGGTGCACCAGGGGGCTGGCCTGCCGGTGCCGGCTGCCTCCACCAGGCCCACTTGTGGCTGTGGAACTTGGAGAGTGGCCAAGCAAGTGGTCATTGAGATTTAGCTGGCTGCCTTGCCTGGAGGAAGGGTGGAGGATGGCGGTGGAGTTGGCCGAAGTGGGAGCCCTGAAAGCCGTGGGAGAGGAGTGTAACAGACCAGGATGGACAAGCTGGCTCTGGAGTTGGGCAAGCTGAGGCAGGGGATGCAGTGGAGCCTGCTGCTGCTGCTGCTGCTGCGGCTGCTGTTGCTGCTGCTGCTGCTGCTGCGGAGGCTGAGGCTGCAGCAAGGGTCCTGGAGGCTGCTGGGGGACTGCTGGTGGCGCTGACGATGGTGGCGGTTGCTGCTGCTGCTGTTGCTCATCCCCAGAGGATGGACAGGGACACTTGGGGTCTTCATCCAGGTCCCCCACCCCCGAGTCATGGAAGTGCCCAGAAGTGTCCATCTTGGGGCCTGGCTGGGTTGCCTGCAGCACGACCCTCCACCCCAAAGCCACCTTGTTCCAAAGATGACCTCAAAGAAAGCCAGGCATCCAAGCTTCCCCACCAGAAGTGTCTTGGCTCCAGTCCTCTCTCTTTGGTTTGCTTCAGTTCTCTGGGGCTGCCACTCGAGAATGCATTGTATTGGGCGAATAGAAAGGCCAGCAGAGGAGCTGGGAGAAGGAGGAAGGGGCGAAAAGAACTCTATTCTGGAGGCGTTCCTCTAGGAGTGTATGAGGCAGACTCAGTCAGCTTCACTCCTCGCTGGCTCAATAGCTCCGCTCTCCTCCTCCTGACACTGTTATATGGCAAGCCAAGCCCACTTATTAGCCAGCGGTTTCATTGGCTTGGCTTAACTCTCCAACCCTCCTAACTCCGCCTCCTTCCCAGACTCCGCCTCCTAGAAGGGGCCTGCCATCCTCCGTTCCCCGCAGGGTGGCAGCGCAACGAGGGCTGGGAAGTGTAGTTTTTGTTCCAAGACCCCCACCCCCCAGCCTCTCCACACCCCACCCCCGAGCCGATCGGCTGCCCTCTTTCCTCGGGAGGTAGGGCTAGGATCCTGAAGCCCCGATCGGGGATCGGGGCTCGACGCTGGCGTTGGGGCAGTGGAAAGAAGAAACAGAGGGCATTCTAAAGGGGAAGCTGTCCCCATGCTTTGGGGACCGGGAACGGAGAACAAACGTTGGTTAATGGCCAGTACCTGTGACAGGTTGTTTGACACGTAGGATTCCAGGCACACCTTCCCAAAGCCCAAGGGGAGGGAAGCTGTGCTCTCATTTTACAAAGAAAATTAACACTCAGAGACATTGAGTAAGAACCACCAGAAGTGGACCTGGACTGCTCGTCCTGACAGGGAGAAACTCACCTACCACTGCCGGAGCACCTGCGCTGTGTGCAGGGGCCTCTGTTATTTCTAAACCTCACATCAATCCTATGAAATGACGTCATCATTCTAAAAAAGAAATAAAAGAAAGAAGAAACCCACTCAGGCACAGATAAGAAATATGTCTCTTGTAATTAAAGGCACTAGGGTTTGAACGCAGACCCCTCTGCTCCCATGCTGTTACGCAGAGTGCTTTTCTCCTATGGTGCCCAGCACAATGTGGCTGTTCAATAAACAGTGTCCACATGATGGATGGGAAAGAGCCGAAGAGAATCTGTCAAGGAAGAGCCAACTTCCCCTAAACAGAATGTGTGAAATAACCTGGACCCAGCTTCTTCCGGAACAGCAGGGTCTGGAAGGAGGTCCTGGTGGCTCCGTGTCTCATCTGTTCGGTGGGTCCTGGGAAGTCAGAGCTGGAAACAGCTGCTGGCTTCCCTGGTTCGGAATCCTCCTCATAAAGTATTTATTAAGGTCCCACTGTGTGCAGAAGAGGCTCCAAAGGGACAAAGCCAGAGATGACTTTATCTCCGTTGCTAACCGCAGCAGCCTTAGGGACAGAGGGGAAGAGAATGCTACGGAATTCCTCTGGGCACCCTGGGGCCTTGAGGGGGAGACACCTTCCTGTCAATTTCCCCGTTCCCCACCATCCTCAGGCTTCTGTCCAGTGCCTTCCCTAGATGAGTGTGGAAATAGCAGGAGATCCAGAAATGCATAGATGCATATGTTTGGGCATGCACGAGCACAGGTGTGAGCATGCACTAGCCCATGCACACCTGTACACATGCCGGTGTGCTTCAAGGCATTTCTCCCGAGAGGTGAACAGCAAATGGCCAGGTCAGAGAGCCGCAGAGCTCCCACCAACCGAGGTCAGGGTCCCCCTCTGCATATCAGCTCCCACCTCCGTAGGCTGTTGTCAGCCCAGAAGACTGAGAGTTGAGCTACTTGTGCTATAAGCCACACCCCCAGGGACCTGATGATAACAACCATTCTTGCGCAAGATTGCCATCAATGATGGAGCAGTTTGTACACACACACACACACACACACACAGGTGCACAGCATGCATGTGCGCACACATGCACGCATGTATGCAAACACACTGAGTCATAGCATCAGAGCACAAGTGCAAGCCTAGGGTTTCATGCATTTTTCTGTGACCAGACAGACTTTCAGTATCCAACCTTACCTTCCCGCATGCCCAGCGTGCCCAATCTGTTCTCACCTTCCTCCTTCATATTCCTTCCTCCCCAATCCCCAAATAGTCATCCATTTGACTCAAGGCTCCAGATCATGTGACTGGGTTTAATAATCATTAATAAATGATCACTAATACAACATTAGGAGCAAAAATGTGCTGCTAGTCCTGGGGCTTTGTGACAGATATCGATTCTGTGCTGTGGAAAATTCATTGCTAGGCCTAGAAATTTCTTTGCCTATGATACCCACAGATTGCCTTCTGCCTCCGCTAACCTTTCTGAGACAGTTATTCTAACTGTGACAACAGGATCCAGGTAGAGGCAGCTGTGTCACCATCATGGGCAGGACTGCTCTACAGCCAAGCCGGAAGTAGTCTGAGACTGTCGCCACCTTGGGTGCAGCAATTCTGTCCGAAAAGAAGGTGGATGAGATGTGCTTGGCGCTGAAGTCCTGACTGCCATGGATGGTCATGTGGCACAAGCAAGATGCCCTTCTGGTCCTCAGCTTCCTACTCTGTAAAATAGACGAAGTGAAGGTCCCTGTCCTGTGAGTCACTAGGATCCTGTCCCACCCTACACAGCGACCCTGACCCTCCACAGCATGTTGGAGCTGGCCAGTAGTGGTTGACTGGTTGGTGAGTGGGTTGGTGGGTTGGTTTGAGATAGGGCTTCTCTATGTAGCCCTGGCTATCCTGGGTCTTGATATGTGGACCAGGCTGTCCTCAAACTCACAAGGCTCCACCTGCCTCTACCTCCCAAGTGCTGAGATCCAGGGTGTGCACCTCTGTACCTGGCAGTGCTGGTCTCTAAAAGCTGCCTCTGACAGCCCTCCCCACGCCGGTTCACCAGGGTCACACTGGCAGCCTGAAGTCCTTAGTGGTGGGAGTGTTTACACCACAGACGAGACAGACCTGTCACCCAAGGCTAGCTTCTTCCCGCCAAGTAGTACTAAGCTCTTACTGACTAGCCAGTGCACGGCTGCCTGCTGGCCCAGCATTAGCTCCAGTTGACACAAAGAAAGAAGCTGGATTGAGAAGGCCTGGATCACTTGATAACACTCTCATATCTTCCTCCCCTTAGCTCCAAGGTAGGACAGGCCAAGGACTTGTAACTTGGAAGTGTGTGACTCAGCCAGGACCTGAGAGTAGCAGGGTTCCAGCTGCCCAGAGCTGCACAGCACCCACCAGGATTGATCGCCTCTCCGAGTGTAAGAAACCCCCAGTGCTCCCCTGAGCCCCCAACTCATACCTACTGCATGTTGGGAGCATCGTGGGACAACTGAGGCATTAGGTTTTTAAGACTTGCCTGTACCTACTAACCAGACAGATAGCAACGATGCAAATCTCAATGAGTACCCAAGAAGTTAGAGTTGGTGAAGAGCAGAGGGCAGTCAACAGAGGCTTCGTGGGGCTAAAGAGATGTCTCAGAGGTTAGGAACACTTGTTGCTTTTGTAGAGGACCTGGGTTCGATTCCCAGCACCCACACAGCGGTTCACAAACATCCATTGCTCCAATTCCAAGAGATCTAATGCCCCCTTCTGACCTCTATGAGCACTAAGCACACACATGGTGCACACACAAACACTCAGGTGAAACACTCACACAAAAATAAAGTGAGTAAATCTAATAAATAAAGTATGTTTTAATAGAGAGGCTTCATAGCGGCTGGAGAGATGCCTTGGTGGCTACAAACACTGGCTGCTCTCCAGAGGGCCCAGGGTTGATTCCCAGCACCCGCATGGCAGCTCACAACTGGCTGTAACTCCAGTTCCTTTGTATCTGGTGCCCTCTTCTGGCCTCCATAGGAATTGCATGCAATTGGCACACAGACATAAATGCAGGCAGAACAAATGGAGGTGCTAGAGCTGGAGTCACTGAGTCTTTACACTGCCCTAGAACGAAAGGATGGAACACTGGGCCTCTCCTGACTGTGAAGACAAGGGGCAGGGGTGTGATGAAGCGTCTTACCTCAAGGGGTACCGGAGAGTGGGTAAGGGCCGACTCCCCGAACTCAGGAAGGGTGGCCACAGACCAGCAGCTCCACTCCAGACAGGCTCTCCGTCTACACGGCCCTCTCTCCAGGCTCACTCCTCACCCCCCCACCCCCCGTCTAGAGCTTCAGCTCCGCCTGAGTCACGCCATGTCACGCCTCCATGCCTCACTCACTCTGCCCCTTCTGCTCGCCCTGACTATCCCCCAATGCATTTCTCCTTGACCTTCAAGGCCTTTTGTCAGGAAATCCCTCCTCGCCCTGAACTCCTTCTCCTCTACCTTTGGGGACTCCGTGCTAACAGTGTCCCCATCAAGCACACTCCTCACCACTGTGTGTCCTTATTCCTACGCTGTAACTTTCTGGAGGGCACACTGATGTGTCTTTGTCTAGGTAGCTGCCCTCTTCCACAGGGCTGGGCATCCCGTAGAGACCTGATGGAATGAAGCAATGGCCTTAAAATCAGGGAGAGAGCATCTGGGGAGAAGAAGGGGGAGTCGAGGCACCCCCCCCCAAGAACAAGCAGTTTCCCATGTGGTAAATTGGGTGCAGCAGAAAAGGTGTTTCGGGGTGTTCTGGCTCTGGAACGGTCTACTCTACGGCCCTCACTGCCTATAAACAGAACTGACTGAAAAGAAGCAGGTGACTGGAGGCCCGTGTTCATCCCCTTCCCTTCGGAGCAAAAGGCTCTAACTCATGCTGTGTTGCCAACACCAAGCAGAGAATCTGATCATGTGTGTGCTCACTAAAAGTTAATTGGATGGGTGGACGGGTGGGTGACAAATACAATGACAAATAATAACGAGATATCTAGAAAAGACAGGGACGTGAGGAATCTTCTTAGGCATCCAGCAAGGGTCAACCACACAGTCCTCAGATGGTTGGACTGGAGACATCTCTGGACTGAAGAACTCGCTCATTGATCTACCCAGATTCAGTCTGCATTGTATTTGCATCTAAGAGCTTTGGTGTTAGATTAACTGGCACTGCGATCATAAAAACAGCTGTAACTGCATAGCCCTTTATAGTTTCCACAGAGTTCGCTTCATTTGCACATCTGGAAGTCCTAGAGGTGCGAGCCCCATTACTCCCACTCCCACAAACTAAGGTTAGAAAGGCTCAGTGACTTTCTTGAGGTCACCGGTTAGCCATGGAATGATGAGGGATGTCATTCTGTATACTGTGAATATATGCTTCTCTTATTGGTTGATG